CTATTATACATGCAAATAAGAACATCCAAGGTATTATCCTAATCTAGCATACAAAACAATGACTATAGCAAGATAGAATACATACCTCTTGATGTAGCTTGATGTCTTCAAGCTTTAAGAGCTTAGCCCTAATAGTGTGGAAGCCTCAAGTGGAATCACAAATCACCAAAACACCTTGGAAGACTTTAGAGAATATGGATACTTGGTTCTCTCTAGTGAAATCGACTAGCCCTTCATAGTGTACCACACTAGTGCCAATTTCACCAACCAAGGACATCTTTATATAGTATGGAAACTAGGGTTAAACCCATGACCTTTCATTTCATATGATCCATGGGTTAAACACTCCATGGACTATCCATGAAAGCTTAGCCCAACCTAAATGAACTTGGCCCATTCCATATATACAAGAGTCCATATTTAATTAGTTCATTTTGATCACTTAATTAATTCTAAATTAATTCTTGATCAATACTAATTAAATAATATGATTCCATATTTAAATAATATGATTCCATATTAACATATTAGAACTTATAATATATTAATATTAATCATAAACATACTATTCTCAAAAGATTATCCATATAAATTGTGTCGATGAAGTGCAACCCAAATGGACCATGCCGGGTTGGGTCAAGTACATACCAAATATAGTTATGGACTTAGACATTAATCCAACACTACCATCATATGTTGACATATAAACAATCAACTCACTAACCACCTACTAGTCCTCATAACGTACACTGTCCCGCTACCATCTACCCTCCATGAAATGCATAACCATTAGTAACTAGAGGTGAGATAGCCACGCGAACAAATGATCCTACTCTAGAGCCACAACTAAACAAAGAACAAGCAAGAAGTCCTAGATCAAGAGTTCTCAAGCTACCTACACGACAACATACAGTCCCTAGGGCACTCCACTATATGATAACCAACAAGAACAGGTAGACATACAAATCTACAGATCACTACTCCATAGCAACATACTAAATACCAGGATATAGATCTAACAAATCACTATAGCATAGAAACATACTAAATACCAATAATCTAATGAATACATAACTGCATATACTCAGTGGTGAGATAGACACCCATACAGGTGATCCTACTCTAGAGACACAACCAAACAGGAAATAGACAAGAAATCCTAGATCAAGAGTCCTCAATCTATCCAACATGACTATATATAGTCCCTATGACATCCCTCTACTAAAAGATAACAAAAACTAGTGGGCCGAAATTGGTATCATCGACCCACGTGTACAATGAGGCAAAACTCACTTGAATCGAAGAACCTTGATATACTGTGATATACTCCCTTTTACACTGCTTGCTCCCACGAATCTACTAACACACAAGAACCAAATAAAATCTTAATCAATAGCCCAAAATCCTCAAGTTTGACCTATGGTCAAACTTGGTCAATAAGTCAACATTCAACAAAAGTCAAAGTCCAAGGCAGTTAAGTACACCCAGTGTACTCAACATACGCCCAACATACACAGCCTGATCCCACTCCTTATTTAAGAACTTAATCCCTTAAGGAATGTTCACCCAAACTCAGGTCTAGCCTCAAAACATTGTCTTAAGTCATAAAGTTTCCACCTTTATGACTTTCCATGGCATTTGGCACGAAGTTAACTTCATCCCTGGAGAAACCTGTTTTTGACATAACACTCTATCGTCAAATGATAGGGTCTCTTATGTATCTAACGGCTAGTAGAACAGACATTATGTTCTATGTTTGTTATTGTGATAGCTTTCAAGCAAATCCAAGAGAACCTCACATGGTAGCAGTGAAAAACATTTTTTGCTATCTGAAGCGAACCTTGTCTCTCGGTCTTTGGTACCCTGCTAGATCTGGATTATTTGTTCAAGCCTTCTCTGACGCCGATATTGGAGGATGCGGTCTAGAACGAAAGAGCATAACTGGTGGATTCCAATTCCTTGATGGCAAACTCGTTAGCTGGCAGTCTAAGAAGCAAACTTGTGTGTCTCTTTCAACAGCTGAAGCTGAGTAAATAGTTGCAGCATCCTGTACCTCACAAGTAATCTGGATATAAAGCCAATTAAGGGACTACGGATTAAGTATGAAGAAAATACCTCTCTACCGTGACTCTGAAAGCGCAATAAAGATGGAAACGTGGAAACGTGAATCTGGTGCAACACTCAAAGACGAAGCATATTGCACTAAGATACCATTTCATCAAGGACCATGTTGAAGATGGAAACGTGGAAGTTCATTTCGTTCATTCCTCTGATCAACTCGCTGACATCTTCACTAAATCCTTACTAAAAACAACCTTACGTAAAATTTTACAAGGTTTGGGGATGATGGAAGCTGAGTCGGTACCGAAACCGCAAACCTCTTACTAAAAATTAGACAAGCGAAATGGAGCGAACGTTCGGTCTATTTCGGTTTTGGATTTTTCAGGGTCCGAAATGAACCAAACACTCGGCTTATTTCGGCTCCGGAATTTTCGGGGACCGAAATGAACCGAACGCTCGGCTTGTTTCGCTTCAGTTCTGTAAAGGTTTGGTTTCAGCTGTATACTTTGTAAACTTTCTTTTACGCCTTTTATTTGATTTATTTTCCCTTTTATCTTTATTTCTAGAGTTTCTAAAACTAATTTCATTTATTCTTGTTTATTTTTCTATTTTTATTATTTTTCAGAAAATTAAAAATACCAAAAAGATTTTATCTTTTATTTTTCGTTATTATATTTGTTTTGCTTGTGTGTGGCTTGTTTGTCTTCATTTCTTTACTAGGTACCAAGGATATTGTTGCAACATGATCTGGAACTAAGGTAGGTATGATAATTCTAATTTGAACTAGTTAAGTATCCCTAGAAGCATGTTGCTGCATGTAGACTGAAGCCTCTAAGACTATGAGTGAGGCCTTAATGATTTGATCTATGCCTATCGTTTCTTCCCAATCAGGCTGCTACATTCACTCAAGTCATGAGCTACCCTACTCTTCTCAAATGAGTTACGAGTTTTCTACTTTATCACTTTTATATAGCTTGGGTACTTTTGGTTCTTAACTACATCCTCTACATTCTCCATCAAATTTCATTTCACCAATGTAACCCTTGAGACTCTCAGCTATTACCACTGAGGTTTGTGGTTACACAAAATATGTGTCTATGATCGTCGATGCATACACCACGTGCTAAGTGAGACCCTAAATCCAACACCTATAAATCATTGACGGTGAATTTTAAAATTCAAGATCTCACTTGTTACCTATCGAAATCTCTTTTTATCTTTGCGTGATCTTTATGAAATTGTCTAACACCAAGGCATTTCTTCCTAAAAGATCCAGATTAGTTTCTGTTTTGAGATTTCCATTCCATACTCAGTCACAACAAATGATATCCAACCCACTTGTTCAACAAACCACATCGGTCTCACAAGTGCTTCACTCAACTTTCGATCTTATATTAAGTATCAAAGTTCGGTTGAAGATAAGCCACCCTTAAAGCCATTATATAAAAAGAAGTCTTTCGATGTTTCTTAACAAACTCTCGATCGTATTTTTCGGGGAACCATAAAAGCACTTCAAGTATTTCTTGACTTTTAAGGAAAAGATCGTATGCTTCATGTCATACTTGACATCACTCACATCTGATACACATTTTGTTCTATTTATTTATCTTTGGCACACTCTCGCACAAAAACTCTTTGTAATTTTCCAAAATTTTGTTTCATGTTACTAATGACTTATTTTGTTGTCAAATGGAGCGAAAGTGGTCACTTTGAAGCGAATGACTGAGTTATGTTTTGCTTGGGACGAAAGTTGAAGATTGTTTTGGAGCAACAATATATGGATAAGAATTTTCATCGAGTCATCAGATAAGGATTAAATTTGGGCGTGTGAATTTGAAACGGTTCCTATACCCACGCGTGATAACGTCTATCTAGGGAACCCAAGCTATCACATCGTGATTTTTCAGGCGACGTTTTAGCGATTGTATACTCATTACAAATGATTTGCTCTCTCTCCTGGAAATGGTATAAAATAGGATTCTCACACCTCTTGTACATCACTACCTTCTTGATACAACATGCGATTGTTGCTGTTCATCTTCTTCTTAACATCAACAATGGTGGAATCATCATCTCTTCAAGATCAAACTGCATCATCGTCATTTCTTGCCATCAAACCTAATCAGAATATGATCATTCAACTTACTCCATTCTTATATGATTCCTTTATGTTACATGTCGTTGAATGTCTCAAGTACTCCCCACTGGTAATTGCTCTTACACAGGTCAAATCAGTTCCCATGTCCCTGCTGTCTCAAGTGTATTCTACTGTGACGTACGACAAGAACAATGAGAGGATCTACTTTCAAATTTTTAATCATAGGGCATCAATCTCAAAAGGCCAATTTTGTTCTATGGTTAGGGCTTGTTGTCGATGCTTCAGTTATCTCTCCGAATTTCATCACCACGACTCAGCTGTTTACAATGTTCTATGAAATGGGTTATACTGAGGTACTTACCCCTTTCACAAAGTTCAAGAAATCTTGTTTACCTCCACAATGGAATGGGTTACTTAATATTCTTCACAATGGGCTCTTTGAACGGGTCGGTGGGTCTGATGGATCAAACAAGTGTTTCATGTCTATTCTATATGGTCTTTACAATGGAATCAACTTGGATTATGGTTCCTTGATCTGGTCTCAACCAGTGCAGAGTTTAAACTCCTCGACCAAACACTTTGAAATTTCTTGTGGTCACTTCTAGACCCTTGTCACTCGTCGGGCAATTAACTCTCTCTCCAGATCCCTGTCATGAAGGATGCTGTGCTTTCTTCTGTAGCAACCTTTCACACCAAGAAGATTATTGTTGTTGATCTGACAAAATTTCCTCACATTGGTTCAATTCTTGAAACAATGTATCGATGTGTCTCTATAGAAAGTAATGTGATGGTTGAGTACCAATTGCTTCCTCCCAAGAATCCACAACAATTGACTCTTAAAATGAAAGCTACTCTGGATGATGTTGAGAAGCCAGAAAAGCGAGGAAAGAAAGCAGATTCCAAGAAGGTGGAAACCGAAGGGCCTTCTTCTAAGCCAGTTAAATCCAAGAAGCGAAAAGCTAAAAAAGATGCTTCCTCGGCTCCTAAGAAAGTTAAGAAGATGGCCCGAAGACTAAATACTCTGTCACCTTCTAGCTGTAGTAATTATGAGGAGCAGTATGCTGATGAGGAAGAGGAAGATCAGCGTGAAGGTTCTCCTAGGGATAATACACCACCTCGGTCTCCAACTCCAGAAGGCACTCTTAATGATTATGATCCCACTCCTCCTCCATCACCACCGAAGACTACTGTTCAAGTTTTGGTTGCCCGAATTCCTCCATTTCCTACAACTCTAACTACTACCACTGTTCCACCACCTCCACCTGTCAGATCAATACCCTTATCTACAACCCCATTACCACCTCCCATTATTTCCCAAGCAACTATCACCTCTACAACGATCATAACAACCACCACTGAATCTCCAGGACAAGTCAACACATCTGATGTGGGGGCGAAGAATGAAGATAATCCTAAAGTTACAACCGATCCTATTTCCCCAACTCATTCTAGTGAATCCGGTCCTGTTCTTGGAGGCGCTAATTTTGAGTTTGATTCCACCTACTACAATCGATACATAATTCCAAGTGATGAAGATGAAGCTGCTCTGATGACCAAGCAACAACTGAACAGTGTTCATGAAAAGCTAGATTCGCTGATCGGCTCAACAAAGAAGTATAATGATGTCGTTTTGAAAGCGTTCATGGATACAACCCTGCAACAATATCATGATTCCATTGCTAAATCCACACCTGCTGTGGATGACTCTACTTCTTTATGCAAAAGTGCAACATCCGATATCAAAGACCTTATTCATGATTCCAAGATTTTCTTAGAATCTCTAAAAGGTCATTTCGATACAAATGCTGCCAAGGTGAATGCCTCAGTTGATTCTCTTTCACATTCACTTCAAGGGGAGCAAGTCAAGCTTGAGACGATTCGTTCTGATATTCTAACTGATAATAAGTCTTTTCTGTCGATCGTTGATTCTCGATTAAGGATACTTCAAGCTGATTTGGAATTGGAACGCAAACTGCAAGAAGATCTTGCTCAACAGACCACTACCATTGAAGTACAAAAGGTTGAACTTGATACAACAGAACGGGAGATTGCTTTGTTGAAAACCGAGCGTAAGGTTTTTCGAAGCTGTGCTGGTGATATTCTCAAGATGCTGAACAATGTGATTCATGCTCATGCTCCGATTCTTACTCTTACCATCAGGAATCAGCTAACATCCAATCTCCTTCCAGCGATTGAACTTTTACGTGAGAGAAAGGGTGTTTCAGAGAAGATTGTTCCTCCACAACAAGGGGAGAAGGTAGGTCACAAGCTCCTCCTGTTCAACCTACTGTTAAACCGAAGGTGATTGTCAAAACCGAACTGAAGGATAATGTAGCTTCATATTCTGGTAATCAAGAGAAGAAGAAAGGTGTCAGTGATGAAAATAATGATAGTGATGAAGACAAAGAGACTATTGCTGATGCCCTAAAACACAAGAAAAAGGATAAGGAGATAGATGAAAATCTTCGGGTTGCAAGGGAAGAAGAAGAAAGGGAACAAAAGAAGAAAGAAGAGCATGATGCTCTGGTTTGTAAGAAGGCTATGTTTCCTCCCTAGACTAGGGATGGACTGATCAAAGAAGCAATTGAGTTTCCAAGCATGTATTGGTTGGAACCTGTTGTCTCTTTTGATTGTGACAACACGAAGGACTCTCAATTCGATATGCTTATAACCAGAAAGGCATTTGTATTTCACTGTTTTGATTCAACAGTTGAAGTTCCCTCTCCCCATCCTCGGGTTGATCGTGATCTTATTGACTACTATCTCAAGTTCGGTCAACCTCAATATCTGACGTGGAGTGCTCAGAATATAACCACTGTCAAGGTGATGAAACCCTCACTTGTTGGAAAAAAAAATTCAATATTCAGTTTAAAATAACCATAGGATTGGGCAACTCAGTCCATACGATTTCTTTGGCGAATCTTCCTAACCTAAATCCTCACGATTGAATTTTACTGTTTAATATTTTGCTCACAAATTCAAAGGAGTATGAGCCGATCTTTGGTCATCTTAAGAGGATGCTAGCCTCTTATATTCTTGAAGTTGCAAAAATGGATCAAGAGGTGGCTCATGTTATGAGGAAGAGACCGACAGTGAAGCCTACTGCAAAGCCAGGAGATGTCAACAAAATGAGTCTCAGCCAAATTGATTCCACTCATCTTACTGTCATGTTCACAAGAGCCAAAGGTGAAAAATTTCTGTTTTCTCTTGTTGACAAGCACTTGTTCTCCACCAATTGCTTGGAACACATTCTCAATCTTATTCATCAGTGTAAGGAGAACTCTGAATCATACAAGAAGAATTTTATGGACATGATTCGGTGGCACATCACTTTTAGACAAACTCTTTTGGCCATTATACCGTGTGTGTTCAAGACTATCAAGAAGTCTACTATAGCTCAACCGACTTGAGCTCTCGACTCCATTTACGCAAAGGGGGAGATTGTTGGGTATTTAGTGTTGCGTCATGGGCTCGTTTTTGTATATTCGGATTTGGCCTGTCCATCTGTGGTTATAGATTAGGGTAACGTTATTTATAGTTCATGCATGTATGACTTAGAAATGTGGTCATTATTATCATCATTATTGCTTTGTAACCCAAAACACCTCTACAGTCGAAGTTCTTAATCGAGCTCTTCTGAGGTGTTAAAGTTTAATCATTCGACACCAGTTAAACCATTATTGTGTTCTTTATTGTATTATCTATTATGTTGTCGTTTATTATTTTGCTTGAATCTATCAATCATTAAGGAATATTATTCCAACACAGTCCCTATGGAATCCCTATACTAAAAGATAACCAAAACTAGTGGACTGACATCGGTGTCGTCGACCTATGGGTACAATGAGGCAAAACTCACATGCATCGAAGAACCTTGAAACAATGTGATATATCCATTTTGCACTTGTTGCTCCCATAAATCCAATAACACCAGAACCAGATAATGTAACACCCGATTCTGAATCATTTCGTTACTCGAGTCCATGGCCCGGTTATCGGTTATTATAAGGCGTAGGGCCTTGGGGAAGAAGAGATTTATCTTTTTGGTCATGGGTATTATATATTAGGTGATCTGATAGTTCGGTTGTGTTTCAGAACCTTGGGGAATAATCGTAATTTAGCAACGGAAGATCTTTAGGTGAGGGTGTGTTGATAGAAGTGAAGGGCTTCTCGTCACCTTTCCATGGATATAAAGTTCATCAAAAATGGACTTAGAATGAAGGAGTTATGGTCAAATGAAATTTAAGTGTTGTAGAGGTTCATCAAGTACGCGGGGCATAATCATCATGTACACAGGGAGTAATGGGTGATCAGATCGTAGAGGCCTTTTATGTACGTCGGGCATACTAAGGGGTAAACGAGGTGTACTCCATTCAGATAGAAACTATAATTTCTAGGGTTTTACCCATATTTAAGCTTCATTTATTTTTTAAGCCTTGCCTCTTATCAGCCTCCATAGCTCCTAAACACTAATCTCAACCCCTAGCCACCATCTTGGAGTTCTTAAGCTCCCATGAGGGATTTTGGAGTGTTCGTGAGCATTTTGAAGAGATTAAAGGTTTTTGAAGGATCATCACTTGGATTAGGGCTTGTAGATTCAAAAGGTATTCGCCTTTTACAACCTATTGAAGGTAAAAAAGTTTTCATCGTGGCTTCTCTTTGGATAGATCTTGTTTGGGGTGGTTTATGGCACATTAGTGGTTTATGGCACATTTTGGTCCCTTTGGTTTGTCTTTATGAGGTTGAGCATCCCCCAAGAGTTTAGGCACTAGATCTGGATGTTTTTGGTGTCCCAAATGCATAAAAATGTTATCTTGATAGTTAATATCAACCCATGCATGTGTACTAGCCTCTTTGTTGAAGTTGTAAAGTAAGAACTTGGATTTGGGACTCATTAAGCCATGCAAAAGTTCAAAGTTAATGTCTTTATGGATTAAGGCATGTTTCAGAACTAGAACTGAGCATTGGATGTTTTGGCATAAGGGATTAAGACATTTTCTAAGTGGATTATGGACATAGTGAGTACGTGGGGCATACCTCCTAGTACGCAACACATATTTAGTCAAGCCGAGGTACGTTGAGCGTACCAACTGAGTGCCCAGGGCGTACTCAGTCTGTTGGGGTTTTCTCGATATGTTGAATTTTTTGACCATGTACCACTGACCAAAAGTTTGATCTGGGTTGATCATTGGATATTTTGTGTCTTTTAGGATATTAGGCCTTCTCGGATTAGGCCCATGATGGGTTTGGGCCCAATTTGGATATTGGGCCTTATTGGGTCGTGCGGTGTCATTTAAGGATTGGGCTTATGATGCTAGTTGATTAGTCTTTGGATTTTAACAAAGTAATGCAAGGGGTACAATGGAGTTTTACCAAGAAGGTTGGTCATTGGGCTAGAATTCTTGTTTGATTCGAGAATCAATTATTGATGGAATGTTATTTTATGATTGATAGCGCGGGGATTTTAGCGAGCCATCAACCAAAGTGTAACGACGAAATTTTCAAAACAAATTTTTTCATTTTTCAACAACCAAATTTTAAATATAAAACATTCTCAAAAAGTATTCCACAATAGTTATCAAATCAAACATATCCCAAGATCACAAATCAAATCTCCTATCTATGTGTACGGTTCACGCTGGCACCTTTCCACAGTCCTCGCTAGTACCGGAAACACATAACACAACAACTGTAACATAAATGCTTAGTGAGCTCCCCAAAATACCACATACAACACATACGCCACTCGAGGCTACTGTACGACCCTCCGGCCGATGTGTCTCAGTGGGACCCTCCAGTCCCGTAACTCGTTGGACCCTCTGGTCCGGTCATAGCTCGTTGGGCCCTCCGCCCCGGTCTGAATCGTTGGACCCTTCGGTCCGGTCTATACAATTATATATCATACTTACATCACATAGCACATAATCTCATACATGGCACGCAATCTCATACATAGCACATAAGACCTTCCGGTCAACTCATAATACCACTCTAGGTAACGTATAGTGAGAAGACTCACCTCGTGTAACTCGGTAACTCGAAAATCTCGGACTCCGTGAAATAGGATCTAGCCTCCGCCTAATCATATGAAAATAAACACTCGGCATCAACACATTTCCCAAGGCTAGACCATTCCCTCTCTTAGCACTCTCAGGAGGGTAAAAAACCATTTTACCCGTCTCAAGGCTCAAATACTCTAAAGTTGACCAAACCCTAAAAGTCAACAAAAGTCAACGGTCAACCCTTTAAACAGACTCGCCGAGTGCACAATTGTGACTCGGCGAGTTCAGTTATGAAATCATGTCCTCAAAATCCCCAATGACTCACTGAGTCACTTCCCCAACTCAGCGAGTTACCATCTGCGTGATTTATGGGGGAAAAATCATCCTACTCGCCGAGTCTGTTCTTGGACTTGGCGAGTTCAAGCCATGCTCAAACTCAAATAACCTCCTGAGGTCAGATCCGTTCCTCTAACCTATAGATCTGGCCTCCTTAAGCAAAATAAACACGTAAAGTTTCGATCTTGATGCTCATGCAAAGACCTAATGGCTCTATTTGAAGAAATGGCCCCAATATGCCATCCCAAACTCTTATCTCCTAAAAACACTCTTAAAGATCGAGGAGTTAAGGTCTCTGGACCACTTTGGATCCAGATCCAAAGTCTCAACACAAGAAGGGACCATTTGCACCACAATCCATACTCTAAAGGGGCTAGAAACCCTAACTCTCAAAGATTAACACCAAACTGAAGAAGGATCAAAATATATACCTCAGAACGAAGTCCTTAGCCTCTGAAATCCACAGAATATCGCCCTCTTTAGTTCCCTGTTGCCTTGGTCACCTTCTTGTTGCAAAAACACCCACACAAAGATCAACATGATCTCTTCTTCCTCACAAACGCTCTAGATTTCTTAGGGTTCCTCCCAGGGGTTTGGTAGCCGAAATAGTGGCTATAAGCCCCTTTAAATAGGTCCCAAACCCCGGGGATTAGGGTTTCATTAAACAACGTGGACTCGCCGAGTCAGCCATTAAATCAGTCCGACCATCCGCGATCCTACTCGGCGAGTCTGAGCGCCTACTTGTTGAGTCTCTCTCCAAAAACTCAATATAAATGCATAAAATAAGATACCTGAGAGTCTGGATGTTACACAAAGATTCATCTGTGAGATTCGACAGTGCGTGGTGAGTTTCCTCACCATGTTTAGTGGATCTAAGGTACCAATTCCGACCCATGGTTTGTTATGTAGGATGCTAGCTGTCTACTCCAATAACAAGTTTTATTGATAACGAAAAGCTATCAATAATATTTTTACCGGCTATGAAAGCCTATTGTTCTTCACTAGCTATAGTTCCTATCACCAACTTGAATCTATTTGCAAGAACATCTTTGTATCAACAACCGATTATGCTGTATTTCGATTTTTATCATTCTTATCACACTTCCATTATGCTGTATTTCGATTTTTATCATCATGGTTTATAGAAAAATTGAGGTATTCGCTTGGAAGAATAATACAATTTACACCAGAGTTAAACTAAAAGATTACAGTCTTCCATATAACCAGATACACCCTATGAATTGTTATTTTAGAAATTCAAGACATAGAAAACAGTAGAGATAAGCAAATTCAAAATATTATCTGATTATTTTTTTGCCATATACCTCGTAAAAGAAAACAATATGACGTGTAGGATTGTAATTGGAGTTGGGTATGGTAGGCGTTATTTTAATTCTAATCTCATAGATATTTATAAATTTTAATACTTGAAATATCAGAAAGTATAATGATATAAAAATAAACGAAAGAGAGTGGGGCAGATGCATGTATATTGTGTGTTTCTGTGTGTATTTGAATATTGGACGGCAAATTATTTAAAGGAAACGAATAATGAAAGTGGAAACGTGTAGGGAGATAGATGAAGAAAGATCCACGTCAGTAGATGAAACACGTGTCGTGGAACAGGGGGCTTTCAAGGGCTTCTGATATTCCGAGAGCCCGTCAATCAACCTTGATAACCGGTCCCACATGTGTCCCCACTTTCCAACTTGTTCAACTTCTATACACTATTAATGTCTCCTGTTACATTATTTATAGTTTTTATAAATTTTTAGACCTTTTCATCGAAAAAGAAATCCTTATACACTTTATTTTATTAAAATTATATGTATTTCATTTTTATTAAGATCACAAACTAAAATTTTGTTAATAGCCGATAAAGTGAGAAACATTAGCCACATATTTGAATATGGTCATAAAAAAGTATGTATATATATTTCAAATAATAACGTACCTTTTGTCTGTTCAAAACTTATATAATGATATATTAGAAATTTTATGCATACTTAATTGAACAATTGAAAGAAGATACATAAATCTCATTTCATATTGATTTTTTTGGATAAAAGATTTTATTTGATTGAAATGGATACGGGTAGATCTTACCAACTTATCAAGAAGCAATCAAGTCTTACTAAAGGAGAAACGGATAGAATATCGGGTTCGGGTGCCCATAGTTTTGGACCACATCCGTGTCATAAAAGGTAGCTTATTTGTTATTTGTCTGAAGTAAACCGTGTTGGGTGCTGATTGGGCCACGTATTGGTCACCTGTAAACTTCCCACGTGGTGGTCTAAGAATATCACAGCATAAAGATTTTATGAGGCGATCAACGGCTGAGATTCCATGTTGGTGTTCAGATTTCTACGTCATACCAACTATACATGTCGGATGGGTCTTCCCGTGACGGTGACGGGCAGCTGTCCGTCCCTACCACTGCTCCAGCAGGTATAATATGATCTCTTCTCCATCCTCCTTCTCACAAAACTTATTATATATTTTTTTTCTAATCCCTCTCTATCTATTCTAGTGTTGTTCGTTTCATTAAAAGATTTCTCGTATCTCATCTTCTTCAGCTTTAATCACTCCAGTACTTCTTTGCAGAGACTGAAATTGATTGGATTTTTGGAAGTTTTGAAAACATTTGATATAGATGGCTGGTATGTGTTGTGGCGTTGTAGGTGAGACAAAGACGACATCGCCGGTTGAGCCTAGCGGTGGTCGTCAAGGGAGGCGTCGACGGATGGAAATTCAACAGCTTAAGTTCCTAGCGGCTGCGGCATCTGACGTGGTGATGCCTCCGCCTGATACTAGTACTAGGAAGCGAAGAAAGGTTGGAAGTATCGAGACGATTGAAACTACTACTGGTGGTGATTTTGGTTTACCTAACCCGAAAGAATTCCAGAAAGCAGTCCAATCTAGTGATATGAAAACGGTGGAAATCGATCCTTGTGGTCGTGGAGCATGTGGAACGTCGTCGGAAACTTTGGGAGAGGATGTGTTGGATAAGGAAAACTCTAGATTTGGTCTCACTGTTGTTTGTGGAAGGAGGAGAGATTTGGAAGATGCTGTTGCTGTAAAACCTTCGTTTTGTAGAACAAGTTCTCGTAGTTCCGACGATCTACACTTTTATGGCGTTTACGATGGCCATGGTTGCTCACATGTGAGTAATTAATCCGATTTCCCAAACAAATTTACTTGTAGAACACACTTTCTTTGTATACTGAATTACTTTTTGTTTTTTTTAGGTGGCAATGAAGTGCAAAGACAGAATGCATGAAATAGTGAAGGAAGAAGTAGTGAGTTGCGAGAAATCCATGGAATGGAGAGAGGCGATGGTAAAGAGTTTCTCACGAATGGACAAGGACATAACCGACTGGAGCAATTCTGCATCAAGATCAAACTGTAGATGCGAACTTCAAACTCCACAGTGCGACGCCGTCGGATCTACCGCCGTCGTTGCGGTAGTTACACCAGAAAAGATCGTCGTCTCCAACTGCGGAGATTCGCGTGCAGTGCTTTGCCGGAACGGCGTTGCCATTCCTCTCTCCGTAGATCATAAGGTAGTACTATATATATCGTCTATCTTACCCGTTGATTCAGGATCTATGTATCGTTGATTATTGTACGATTCCTTAACATATATATTGTTTGCTGAATGTATAGCCTGATCGACCCGATGAGCTTGCGAGAATAGAAGAAGCCGGTGGTCGTGTTATATATTGGGATGGCGCTAGAGTTCTCGGCGTTCTAGCCATGTCTAGAGCAATCGGTATGTTCCTGTTATTCGTCAAAATTCCCTTTGATACAATATATGAGATCTGGAATTCGATCGACTAAATACTTTGTGTTGCTCGTTTGTTTTCAGGCGACAACTATCTGAAGCCGTACGTGATACCGGAACCGGAAGTAACCGTAACGGAGCGGACGGCCGACGATGAGTGCCTTATCCTTGCAAGCGACGGCCTGTGGGATGTTGTATCAAACGACGTAGCATGTAGTGTGGCCAGCATGTGCCTGAGGTCACAGGAGGTTCCATCTCCGCCGCGGTCTCCCGGAAGTGAGTTGAATGTTGCCCGTGGTGAGAGCTCCGACAAGGCATGCTCCGATGCATCGGTGCTTCTGACGAAATTAGCCTTGGCTAGACGGAGCACGGATAACGTCAGCGTGGTGGTGGTTGATCTACGGAGGAACTTATAACCTCTTTTACCAGATTCTTATTTTTATTTTAAAATTCGAAGGATTCGATGTCTTGTTAACGATATAATATAAAATGTATATAGTTAAAGAAGTAATATACATATTATTTGAATCAGTTATTTTCCAGAAAAAATGATTAATCATTTATCAACCCAATAAAGTTTTAAACCGTTTAAAAACACCAATCATATTTTCTTTGTTCAAAAAAACTCAACGAACTAAGTTACACTTCCTTAAAGTTAAATAAGAGAAAGAGATGACGTGACTGATTACCGTATCGGAAAAACGACTGTTAGATCAACGAAGTTTCTGAAACGTTTAAAAAATTACAATCATGTTTTACTGTTAAAAAGAAAACCTAACGAACTTAAACAATACAAAATTGAGATTTTTTGAACAGTTTAGAACTTTGTTGAACTTTTTAAACAAAATATTTAGTTCGTTGAATTTGTTTTGAACACATAAAATATGATTGAGGTCTTTTGAATTTTGTTGAACTTTTTAAAGAAAATGTTAAGTTCGTGAGTTTTTTTGAACAGACAAAAATTATTGACGTTTTTTGAATGGTTTGGAAACTTCGTTGGACTTTTCATCTTTTCACATCGAAATTACTGTACATGGTTCAGAACAGCTTACATCAATCGCAAGGATTTACGTAAATATATTTATATGAATAAAATCATAAGAATATTAATTATATGATGTTTATAATTAAGGCCGTTCGGTGTACCGGGAACGAAGGCCTCCGTGGTCTAGCTAGCCACGGATCACGTTCGTGCACACCACCCCACTGCCTCGTGGTGGCTTGTGGTCGGGCGATTCGTGTTGGGGACGACGGAGGCGGACGACCAATCAGACCGCTTCTCCTCTCTTCTTCTCTCTTCCTATCTTCTTCTTTCTTGCAAACCACGAGGAAGTGACCATCCCGTTAGGTTGAGGAATAGTTGTGGTGGTGACGTGGAGGTGGAAGACGGTGGTGGTCGTGAAGACCATAACGGATGGTCTAAGTTTGTGTAATTCATTGGGTTTTATTGTAAATTAACACGGAATGACTCAAAGATGATAGACTGTGACGGCCCGACAACACGAGGTACGTGTCCGATGGGGAAAAAAATCAAGTATAGCTTTGAAGTTTTAGAGTTTTGACTTACATAAAAAAGAAAAAGAGATTTTTTTTTCAAGGATAATTTGGTAATTTACCCATCGAGTGATGCAAAAAAGAGAAAGGAAGCATAAATGCAAAACTTAAACTCATGATGCAAAGAGAGAAAGGAGGAAACGTGGTATGGGACACGTTGACATGTCCCCACATGAGAAATTTCATGCATAAGGAAACTTTTTTCCGAGTGTTGGTAATCTTCGACATTTTCATCATGTTTTTTTGTATGATTATAGGAAGAGCCGAAGAGGAATGTGTATGCATTATCGTTTCATTTTTCTAATTCTACACCGTTTTCTCTATATTTCCGCACGAAATTGCAACCTGCTATGCTATCTATACAACAATCTTAAAGGTATACAACTGAACATCAATTGCTGAAGTGGAAGTTGAGTGTTCGTCTATAGAGTTAATGAATCATGAAGGACGATATTGGCTGATTCCAAACACACGAAATTGAGGATTTAAATTTAAGAAATTGAGTAATCTAACCATTTTTTAATGTTTATTTGAAATAACTAGAATTTTTTTTAACAAAAATAACCAATTTTCAAGAACTCCGAAATCCAAAGAACAATTTCAAAAAAACATATCAATTTCTCCACATTTATCCTAGAGGAGTCTGTTCCAATTCTCTATTTTTACTTTTATGTTCTTTAATTGTTTTAACATGCAATGCAGACATTGTGTAAATTAAGTGTGGGGTAGAGTGTTGATTACATTAGTTACATTAGAATCCTATGCACAAAAAGTAAAAATAAATAAATAAAAAAAAAATAAAAAAAAAAAAATTGCTAGGTTAATTTAGAAAATTTTTATAAAGCAATTAAAATTTCATGCTAATATTGTGTTTGATGATTCTTTAAGGATCTAAATGTTTAGTTGAGCCAAGATATGTTATAGTGTATTTGTAGCTCACTTTATTCTAGTGAAATCATGGAACAAAAACACAACATTGTTTAGTTTGAGGGACGCAACATGTTTAGCATCGTGTACTTGAAATGTATCCAAAAAAACTTAAGTAGTCATTACACATAAGACTAATATCTTTAATCAATAAATGATGAAGTTAAAACCTCTTGTGTAAGCATATGTTTTTCTAGGTTTTAGTTTGAATGAAAAAAATGTTGAAATGTTTGAAAGAATCTACAAGTATGAATGAAAAAGAACTACAAAGCATCAAAGATTCAAAGCAAAAGTTGTATTTTTTTATTGTAATTTTCTTTTCCACGTTATTTTTTTGTATGTGTGCTTAGGGGTTTAACAAAATACACCTTGAGGTTAAGAAAGTGTTATGCGGATGGATTCAGAGGGATGCATAAAATGAACGTTGTTCAAAAAAAGTGAGCGAATGTTTATGAAGATTGTGAGTATTTAGGCAGGACCGGTCCTAGACGATTTGAGGCCTGGAGCAAAATAAAATATGAGGCGCAATGAATTTTTTTGGTAAAAAAGTGTGACACCTCGCAAAAAATTTATTAATTAAAATAATTAATACAATTAAACTTCTTTATGCATTTAACTTCATTATGTGCAATTCGTTTCAAAATCAACAATTAGTACAATTAACAAATCTAGTTTGCATCTGCAAGTCTGTAAGAGATATACATACAATATGGACGCTAACTTGCAAATTCTTCGATACAAGAAGTTCCTAAGCATTTGATTGAATTATAGAACCCAAATTAACAAAATAGTGGTAATATGTAAAACCAACATTAGGACATTTTAGCAACAATACTAATACTATAGGAAGAAAAAGAATTGCATAGATTTTACAACATACCTTGTTTTACCATGGTGACTGGTATCTTCTTGAACCCATGTTGGATGATGATGTTAGACCAAACAACGAGATTCATTCATAACAAAAACAATAACAACGTTAACTGTAAATGTGTGAAACTCTAAACACAGTCAATCCACGCCAAACATAATATATCAGTAACAATAAGAAAACGAATATTACAAAACTTATTGTTTCAAATCGATAGATAGAAGATGTATAAATGGCATATCGATAAACTCTAATATTCTATCAAATAACTCAATTAACTCTGATAAATCCATTAATATGGCTTCAAAACACCCTAAAGTGAATACTTAAAGGAAAACGATCATTAATTTAATGTAAAGAAAGATCGGACAATTGAACTTCAAAAATCAAAATACAAAAATCGATTTCTGATTTGAACAATCGAAATTAATAGGTATGATTACATTAAAAACGACCTGACCATACTTGGAAGGAGTTGAAATGACGATTTCAGAAATCACTTGAAGATTGTTGGCATTGGATAACTGTCTCCTTGTGTTCTCTTTTATGCTCCAGGGTATTAGACTTCAAAATAATTAAAAACAGAGAAATCGTTTGGGAGAACGCATCAAACCACAAATATGAGCAAAAAAAAATCACTATAGTTGTTGGGTCATTTAGTGTTATGAGTAAAATATTAAAAAATATATGGTGTACTTGTTGGGCCTTAGCTTTATTAGAAAAAAAATACGGCAAAAAAAGAAAAATAATTACATGCTAGTTGGTATATGCAAGGCTCGATCTCCGGACGCTTAGTACAAACACCACTACTATAAGAGCCTTGGATCTTTTTAAGGCATAATATATTTTATATCATTTGAAAACTATATATACAAATTGATATTCGGAGGGGCCCCGAGCTTTGTCGAGACCCAGGACGGCCGCCCAGCTTGCCCTCCCCCTAGGGTCGGCCTTGAATGGGGAGCAGGGGATGGGGTAAAACGGTCTCATGCCAGAGGTGGACACAGCATCACTACACACCGGTCGGAGTGGTGTTCACCACAATATCACAGTGACAAATCATCAAACTGCAGTATGCACAACAAGAAATAAGACTTTTAGGGACGATAGTTTTTGCGACGACATAAGGCTTTAGCGGCGACATAAGAGAATGCCGTCACTAAAGGTCCTTGTCGTCTCTAAAGTTGTCGTCGCTAAAGGAGTTCCACCGTCGATCCACCCCGAGCACATGTCATTTAATCGTGACCGTTGGTAGCTATAGAGATCCATCGGTTAGGGTTTCATCAAGTGGAAAGTAATAGCGGCGACATCATTTGCGACGACGCGTCGCCGCTATGGATAGCGATCCGGGTGAATTTGATCCTGACCCTCCATTTGTTTTTAGATCGGACAGCTACTAGGCACCAAAGAATGGCCTGTGTTTTTCCCTCCAACTTGTCGCCGCAATTGGTAGGGCATTGACACTAAAGGTGTCGTGTCCTTTTGGCTACCCCTTCGTCCCAGACGGCTCATTTTGTACAAATGCTTCATTCGGGAGGTTGGGAGCTACATGTGGCGGGACATTGGTTTTGATAAGAATACATGGAATGATGTTTCTGAAGCAGAAAGGGTTGGTATGTTCCAATATTTTTTGGTAATTATTTATAAAGTTATATATTTCATATTGTTTAATTTGATTTATTTTTAATTTCTCTATTTTTTTGTAGTCATGGTTTGATTTTTCAGCGATTACAAATGATCCTATGGCTACAACTTATTGGGCATTGCGGAACAATCGGGTATGTGAGCGGTATAGAGGCTTTAAAAATCTGGCAAAAAATCGTTTCATTGATTTTGCAAGGGATGTGGAGGCAGCAAGGGCTCAAGCCCCTACGGGTATGGATCTGCAGCGTTGGAATGCTGCTATTGACCGCTTCTTAACAAAAAAAAACATCAAAATCGATCCGCTGAAAACAAAGAATGTCGGAAGAAGCAAGTAGTTGAGAATCGTGGAGGGACTTGCAGTTACGGTAGTGTTTGTTTTAAGAAATTAAGTTACGTTAATGCTTATTCAGCCATAACATATTTTTTAATGTTTATTCAACTATAACATATTTCATAATGTTAAACAAAATTTGAATAGATTTGAAGCATTTCATCGTGCGCACGTGAATAAAAAAAAAAAAAGACGAATTTGTTGATCCTTTGGTTGAAGATCAATATGTAAGTTATTATTACTTAAAAATGATGTAAATTGTTTTTTTTTTTTTTTTTTTTTTTTTTTTTTTTTTAGTTTTAACGTATATAACAATCTTTGTGAAATACAGAATGCCGTGGTTGCTGAGGTTGTTCTACAGACTCATCACATAGCCGACTCTGGTGGTGATCCAGACAACATTGATTGGATCGCAATATTTGAGAATGTGTTGGGTACACGAAGGAGGCACGTGAGAGGCATTGGGCCTAAACCTTCTTCAGCTGATATATGCGGGTACAAGTGTTTCATCTCAATGGCAGTCACAGTCACAAGCACCGCAACCAACACATGTAGTTTTGTTAAATTGTTAAAGACTTAATGTATTTGTAGTAATATTTTGTAGCTTGGTAGTTTTGTTAAATTGTTAAAGACTTAATTGATTTTGTGCTTTGATGGTTTGATAGTTTGTTGAATTTTTAATGACTTAATGTGCTTGTGACTTAATTGTAGGATGTTGATGTGAATACTTTTATTCAAAATCCGACATTTGTGACGACCATTGGAGACATTATTCACTCGTTTAAAAACCAAGTCAATGAGGAAAACAACGATGCGAAGGACGATGGGGAAGATGAAGATAACTAGTATTTCTTGTTTTAGGATATGGAGGATGTTATTTTGGATTTTGAAGATAGTTTATGTATAATATATATTAGATGTTTATTTGAGATTTATTAGATATTTTATGGAATATGGTATGTTTGATGTTTTTATATAATGTGGTATGTATTTATTTATATATTTTTATCAAAACTGTATTTTAAAATATATATATATATATATATATATATATATATATATAAGTTAATATTATAAAAAAATATGTTTTTTCTAAAAAAAATTAAAAAAAATAAATTAAAAAAAACATTTAAAGCGACGCCTTTAGGGACGACTACCAATTGCGACGACACACACCTCCGGGGAAGTTTATCGGAAAAACTCCAACCGATAGCCGGAATATTAATAGAGACGATGTTATTTGCGACGACAATCGTGTATTAGAGACGACAAGTATTAAAGACGACAACCGGCTATTAGCTACGAGTCAATTGCGGCGACTCGTTAGTGACGACATGTCGTCGCTAATAACTTTAGCGACGACAAACGTGATCAATTGCGACGTTTTGGTCGCCTCTAAAGGTTAGTTTTTTTGTTGTGATGACGTGGTGGTGCTCCAATCAGTGTAAATTTTCATATACAACTCAAGGATCACATTGTTAGAGCACAACTTCTGACATAAAGCGAATATGACGTCACGTGTTTTTATGTCACTTACGTGTCCAATCATATTATGAATTTTTGCTGATAAATTACAATATGAAATCAAAATTTAGGTTTCCAGATGTTTATTAAATGGTAAATATGTATATAGAAAGTGAAATGTTTATACATAAAACTAAAAATCCGAGGTGGTGCGCATGTGAATGGATAATGGTGAACATAGTCCACCCAGGAGGATGGTGATTAGGACACAAGTCAGCATCAGGTGCACCCACGTCTACCGGTTCAACCCCACGGTGTCACTCTCTGTGTGCTGGATTACAATCGGAAAACTAGTCATCATTCCATGTGGACTCCACATATACACACATCATATTCTTCCAAGTCAATATTACCTTTATCAATATTGATTTTCAACCACGAGAACTAGAATAAGGTTTGATTCTACATTTGTAATATTTTATTTTCTTCTTAGTTTGATTAAATACTGTTTTTCTTAAAAAAGTTGAAAATCTAATTTACTGAATTTTTTGGCATGTTTTAGTTAGATTATTAAATATACAAAACATAAAACAGCAAAATTTGGTATTTGTCTTCTTTGAAAATTTTGGGCATATGATAATTTGATGGGTTAGTTTTTAAAATATATATATTTTAATACAATCTAAAAAAGTGTTATGAAAAATAAACTAAACTAGTATTTAATTCATTCCCTGCATTGTGCCGGAGAACTCTTTTTTTAAATAATAAAAACGAAAACTATAAAAAAATTATGTAAGAGATCAAAACATTACTTTGATGTACGGATTAATTCATATATACGATGTGATTTACGAATATCAATAGTCCACGTATAGCATGAAATGATTAAAATATCTAAGATGGACCACAAAAGTATCAAAATAAAGTTTAGAGACCGACAAATATAAAGTTGAAAGTATATCTTAAGAAAATTAATAAAACGGAAACTATAAAAAAATTATACGACTGATTAAAACGTATATTTGATGCGTGGGGTAACTCCTTCACAATTTGTGTATGGATTGTAATTTACAAATGTTAACAATCCACGTATATCATGGTAACGATTATACAAACACAAAAGTATGTGAATATAGTTTTGATCCGAAAAATTATATATAAAGAAGGTGGACGAAAATAATATTGTTAAATGTATTTTCATGAAATTAATAAAAACTAAGACAAAAAATAATGTAAGTGGTCAAAAGTATATACATTCTAATATGCTTCTAAAATTACTCACTAATTCTATATATATATATATATATATATATATATATATATATATATATATATATATATATATATATATATATATATATAGGGTAAAGTGAATATACCTAACAACCTTATATAAGCTTAGATACCTAACCGCATTATACTACATCGTTTTGCATTATATTTCCATTGCAATCGTCTAAGGTTTTTAAACTTCAACCCTTAACTTGATTTACTTCCAAGATTTTCAGACATTCACCATTATATTCCTCCTACACCATTTGATTTGTAACGGTAGTATATGAAGCCAATCAAGGGGTCTCCGATAGAAAGACATCATTTGAAGGAAGATAATTGTGAAACTCCAAAGATTTTGGAAGTAATCAAGTTATGAGGTTCAATTTTAAGAACTTTGGGTGATTACAATGCAAATATGATACAAAATTACGTAGTATGATGTGGTTAGGTACCTAAGCTTATATAATGTTATTTTATATATATATATATATATATATATATATATATATATATATATATATATATATATATATATATATATATATATATATATATATATATATATGAGACTTAAATATTAACCTTAAAGATACCATTAACCCAAAAATACATTGGTCAAGTTTTCATTTACTTGATACAAATTTTAATGTTAAATGTTTAAAATAGTTTGTGAACTATCCAAATAAAAGTGAAGAGTATCATATACATAAAATTCTTCCTTCAGTATATTTTTATTTTTAAAATTTAATGTCATTTATGAAAAATAAACTTAAAAAAATAAAATTTAGATTTTACAGAAATATCTATTTTATAATGAATTTGTTATGTTTATAGTAGCCATCTTCATAATCTATCGATAAAACATAATATTCTTAAACAAAAATTAAACATTAAACTATTTGAAACCTTAATACTATAAACATAATTTTTTATTTATAAATTTTAAATAAATAACAAATTAATTGGAGTTTAAATAAAAATATAAAATGTTAAGGGTGTGTTTTGAAATAGTTTTATTACATAATGAATCCAACGAAGCATGAGTTGTACTAAAGCATGGGTTGTACTGTTCACAGACTTCACAAAATAAAATTGTTCGTTATATTAAATAAATAGACGATTTACCATCTATATTATGTTTAGAAAAATAGTATATATTAAAGTATTCTTGGCTAAATAATTATAGCACTGCAGTATTTCCATGAAGGTCCTAGTTCGATTCCCTTAGGATCGACGGAATCGTCCCCGTCCTTCCCACTACCCACCAAACCCTTTGTGGAGGGAGCCGAACCTGCCTAAACCCCATCCCTCCCAACCCATCTTCCCCATGTTCCTTCTCTTTCAGCGGTTTGAGGAACCCTCAATACCCTCTCTTTCTCTCTTGCTCTCCTCCCGCTCATCCCTCTCCTCCTGTTTGGTCAAACCCGCTCACTCCAACCCTCTACGATTCACTCCTCCCTTTAGTAAGCATTTTCTCATTACGTATCTTCATTTTTATTATCTGACATCACAACCACGTCATCCCAATTAATAAAATGAAAGGAAAAAAGAAAACCTAAAAAATATTTATGTGAAAATAATCAGAAAATTACATATGTAAAAAAAAACCTAAAAAATATTTATGTGAAAATAATCAGAAAATTACATATGTCGAAATCAAGTCTGTCCATGAGGCTATCACTTGTTGGCAACAGGACAACCAAAATGACTACCCCTCCAGACGGCCCAATCCCCGTGATTAGCAATGCCAAGCCCACATAGCTCAAGCAACCAGTCCATGTATTGTTATCGACCCAAACTAGTACTTTGATAACAGTGTCATCGATCATGTATCCCCTGAACTCAACAAGCTACAACTTACAGAACCATAGGTCGGGGATGACAAACTTCAAGTTGGTAATGGTAACAATCTTCTTATTACTCATTCTGGCTCATTATCATCACTGCATTTACCATAAGTTTTTATTGTCCCTCGCTTAACCAAAAATCTCATCAATGTTTCACAACTAACAAAAGATAACAATGTGTACATGGAGTTTAGACCTAACCATTTCCTTGTTAAGACATTTCAGGGACAACCTCTCATTTGCAGGCACGTTCAACAAGGACTGTATCGATTGTCACCATCAACAAATAACTCAACATTTACAATGGCTCTATATGGTGTGCGTATATCCATGACTGGTTGGTACAATCGGCTTGCACATCCACGTGAAGCTATTCTTCGAAGATTGATATCTACCTTTAATCTTCCCACATCCACAAATGACTTACCATTTGTCTGTAAACCATGCTAGTTAGGCAAAGTCACAAACTTCCCTTTTCTACTGCTCATGTTTCTTGTACTCAACCTTTTGAACTAATCTATTCAGATGTATGGGGTCCTTCACCCATGTTTTCAATAAATGGCAATCATTACTTCGTTTTATTCATTGATGACTTCACTAAATTTGTCTGGATTTATTTTATCTCTAACAAATCTCAGGCTTTGCAAACATTTATCACATTCAAAACCATGATCAAAATGCAGTTTGGATGTGACATTAAAAGATTTCAATCAGACTAGGGAGGTGAATACCGGTCTGTCTCCTCTTATCTTCAGTCATGTGGCATTGAACATCGCATCACCTGTCCCTACACCCCTGAATAGAATGGGGCATACAAACGTAGAAACTGCATAATCATCAAAAAAAGGTTGTCTCCTCTCGCTCAATCCTCTCTCCCACATGATTTTTTGGAACACGCTTTTAAATCTGCAACATATCTCCACAACCGCACAATCATAGCTACTCTAAACTACGTATCCCCTTACTCTAGAGTCTATAAACACACACCTGATTATGCTTTCCTACGAACATTTGGATGTCTGTGTTATCCATTCTTATGACCCTACAACTCCAACACGATTGACTTCCACTCTCTCCTATGTGTCTTTATAGGCTACAACGCCTCTCACAAAGGTTATTTTTGTCTATATCGCCCAACCTCACGAATTTACATCTCACGTCATGTCATCTTCAATGAATCAGTATTCCCATATAACACAGATAATTCACTTCCTCCATCCATTCCTTCCTTTTCTCCACCCACATGATCAGACATTAATT